ACCGCAGTCTCCGCAGCAGCCCCATGTGCCAGCAGCGACGACGCAGCAAGCACCGATCCCAGGGGGAATACCACCCGCACCCTGGATGCCGCATTGGATGCAAAACCCGAACGTGGCACCACCCACGCAGCTTACCTGGCAGTCCACCCACGTCACCCCCCAGGGAGTGCCATACACCACGTGGGGCGGATACTCCATGACACCAACCACAGCATATCAACAAGGGGGACATACACAGGTGTACTTCCCACCTCCAACATACCAAATACAAAACCAGCAGATGCCACCACCGATGCAGCAGCCGCAGCGAGCCAGCTCCAGCACAGCACCACCACAGCCACAGACTCCCACACAGCCGGCCTACCAACCAACAACCATGGCGCTACAGCCCACGCAGCGCAATTACCACAGTCAGCTTGGGACATCCCCACCCCCCCCCACCTCTGCAAGGGGGGACCCCACAGCCCAAAGACAGTCTCCAAACACCGTCCCGGCAGGGCCTTTCTACAGAATGGGATATGCCAAGCCATATAACCCCGACGACGACCCGTGGAACACCCCCTACTCCTCGCCGCGCCATGAGGAGGACGCAGCACCGGCCACCACGTGTGACACAGGAGCCACGCCACCAACACAGCAGCAGCCTGACCGGGAACAACCGCAGGCAACACCACACAACACCTGCACGGTGCCAGCTCAGAGTCACCGAACGCCACAGCCTCCTTCAACACCGGCCGTTCCAACAGACATCGACGACCCGCCCTCGCTGCCACCGTGGGATGAACGTATACTTCAGAACACACCCAACACACCCAACACACAGGCAGGCACAGGCGGGGGAGTGGCGACAGCCCGCAACAACCCCGAGCAGAGCATGTTCACAGAGCAGGAGCTCCGCAATCAAAGGGAATGGTATGAAGGCCAGACAGGCACATACCAGGGGGAAATCCCCCCCGAGATGGAGTGGTCCGGATCTACTCCCGCTGCCACAGAGCGTCAGCCACAACCCAGCGACGCGACCAGCGCAGAGCAGCAGCAGCAACCGCCTCCACAACAACCACCACACCCTGACGCAACCAGCGAGACCACTCCAACACAGCAACCACATGTTACCCGCCGACCACCCTGGGAAACACTTGGGTGGGGTGGAATCCGCACACAGCGCCCTCAGCCCGGAGGCAGCAGCCGCCACAGCCACCCGCAATCCCGGGAAGCTACAGCTGGTCACGGCTCACAGAGAGTAGCCAATAAACGTGGCAAATACACCTTCAAGCAGCTGCACCGCAGCAACCGCCAACTACGCAGGCCCCCCCCCAGCCACAAGAAGGGCCAGGC